TGTGTTGATCTGTTAGAGGGACGGAGGGCTTTGCAGGGGGACTTGGAACGGTTGGATGGATGGGCAGAATCTAATGCGATGAAGTTCAATAAGTCCGAGTGCGAGTCCTGCACTTTGGCCACAATAACCCCCTACAACGATATAAGCTAGGAACAGTGTGGCTGGACAGTGCTCAGGTGGAAAGGGACCTGGGGGTGCTGGTTGGCAGTCGGCTGAACATGAGCCAGCAGTGTGCCCAGGTGGCCAGGAAGGCCAATGGCATTCTGGCCAGTATCAGGAACAGTGTGGCCAGCAGGAGCAGGGAGGTCATTCTTCCCCTGTACTCAGCACTGGTGAGGCCTCACCTGGAGTATTGCGTCCAATTCTGGGCCTCTCACTTTAGGAGGGACGTTGAGATGCTTGAGCGTGTCCAAAGGAGAGCAACGAGGCTGGTGAGGGGCTCGGAACACAAGCCATATGAGGAATGACTGAGGGAGCTGGCGTTGTTCAGCCTGGAGAAAAGGAGACTCAGGGGTGACCTTATCACTCTCTTCAACTTCCTGAAGGGTGGCTGTGGTGAGCTGGGGGTCGGTCTCTTTCTCCAAGCAACAACAGACAGAACAAGAGGACACAGTCTCAAGCTGTGCCAAGGGAGATACAGGCTAGAATTAAGGAGGAAGTATTTTACAGAAAGAGTGGTCAAATACTGGAATCATCTACCCAGGGAGGTGGTAGAGTCACCATTCCCTGAAGAGTTTAAAAAAAAACTGGATGTGGCACTTGGTGCCATGATCTAGTTGAGGTGTTAGAACATGGGTTGGACTCAATGATCTTAAAGGTCTCTTCCAACCTAGAATTTCTGTGATTCTGTGAAAGCTGAAAAATTACTCTATTCTATTCTATTCTATTCTATTCTATTCTATTCTATTCTAATTTTACTCCATCTTCTCACAAGGCTGATTAATTATTTTATTTTATTCCAATCCATTCTATTCTATACTATTCTATGCCATTCTATTCTATTTATATTATATTTTTTAGTTTTACTGAATAAAGTGAAAGGAAACATCAGAAGGCTAAAAAAGAATGGTAGTGAAAGCTCATGACTGATTCAGAGTCCAACACCGCTGATGGTGAGTAGTCATTTAGTAAAAAAATTCACATGGAACCAATTAAACATGGACCCTTTGGTAAACAATCTCCAGACCACATTTCCAAGCAATCACATATTTATTATTTGTATTCTTTTCTGAGGCTTCTCAGCTTCCCAGGAGAAGATCCTGGGCAAAGAGGATTTTTCAGAAAATACCATGATGACACTTGACTTTTATTTTGTTAATCTAAACAAGCCTAGCAAAGCTATTTGAATATGTCTTTAACAGAGAATATGTCTTTTCCTTCCTAGCACATTTTTTGTTATCCAGTCCAATAAAGGGATGGATATAGTTTCAAGGGAACTGTTAGCACTGCTCTAAATGAAAGCACATAAATGGCTTTTAAAGGGTATTTTTGGATTATGCCAGAAAACACCATGAAAAAGGCACTGATTTTCTCTTAGCAGTGGCACATGTGTAGGTCAAAGCCACAGTAAACCAAAAATACTCCCAGGCCTCTCTTTTTTTTTGTTTTTTTTTTGTTTTTCCTCTTCTGTAACTTCGAAATGATAAACTGCAGAAGTTCTTGTCCCCTGAGACATGAATTTATGCAGCACATCTTGTGATAGCAGAATCCAAAGTACACTTCCTTGCATAATTATGTTAATCTTATTTTTGTTATTGTACCTGTTGAAAGGCATTTAGTTCCTTGTTTAGACAGAGACAGCCCTGACTTCTGTTTTAGCAT